AAATCTATCCCAAGTTTTTCATCATGTCATGTTTTCATATAAAAATAAGACACATTTTTCTATTTTTGGACATTTAAAACAAACATGAACAGAGCCACGTTAAATGTAAATTTCTTCCTTCTTTTTGTTGAGACATTAGATTCTAAAAATACACAGTGGGAATTTGGATCTTATTTAGTAACTGAGTATTTCATTTACTAGATCTGACTAAAAATTTGCCCCCAAAATGTTCAAATTTCATCTGAACTAAAACTGATTTTGCATCATCAATAAAACAACAGACCAGTTTGAAAGAAGCTCAGGAACCTGTGTGTGATTCATTCATTTGTTTTTCATTATAAAACCAAAAATAAGAAAATGAAAAAACAATTTTCTTCATTATTTGTCTCCAAAACCAAAATGAAAAAACAGATAATGATCAAATTTTTCAGTTTTTGAGTTTGTGTTTAAATCAAAAATGGAAAAAACAGATAATGACCCGTTTACGTGACTCTCATGGCTGTGATGTCGGACTGAACCAGGACTGATCCAGGTTTGGAACCAGACCGGGACCAGACCAGGACCAGACCAGGACCAGGACCAGGGACCAGACTGGAGGCTCAGAGCCCACTGCAGGGCCGGAGCTCGAAGCTGAGACTCATTTTTTCCATTTTTCATTAAATCGAAAACTGAAAAACAAATCATTTTCTGTTTTTTATTTTATTTTATTTTTTTCATTTTGGTTTTGGAGACAAATAATGAAGAAAACTGTTGTTTTTTCATTTTCTTTCTTTTGATTTTATGTGTGACTATCTCAGTCCAGAAAAGTGCAGAACAGGAACAGCAAAAATACTGAAGAACTGTCAGGGTCCCAGGACTTTGGTAGAAAAACTGAGCTGGATGAGAGTGAGAGACCAGCCACCGTGGGAGGTGAAAAACACACATAAAAAAAAAAAAAAATTTTATATATATATATATATATATATATATATATATATATATATATATATATATATATATATATATATATAATAATCTTTTTTTTGCTATTATTTAAAATTAAAACCACTGGATGTGTGTTAAAACTGCTGTGAGCTGAATAAAGTTCTGTTTTATATTTATGTTTTATAAAACTAATGTGACTCTCAAACTCACCAAGTGTGAAGAGGGACAGAAGAACCAGCAGCGCTTTGTAGTCCATGGTCCAGTGAAGATCTGGTGAAGGTCTGGTGAAGGTCTGGTGAAGATCTGGTGAAGGTCTGGTGAAGTCTGGTGAAGGTCTGGTGAAGGTCTGGTGAAGGTCTGGTGAAGGTCTGGTGAAGATCTGGTGAAGGTCTGGTGAAGGTCTGGTGAAGATCTGGTGAAGGTCTGGTGAAGATCTGGTGAAGGTCTGGTGAAGGTCTGGTGAAGGTCTGGTGAAGGTCTGGTGAAGATCTGCAGCGGAGCCTCAGTGTCCGTCCGTTCTCTGCACACCTCGCTCCTCTTCTGTGTCTGAACAAACGCCCGACCTCTTGGTGATCTGGTTATCGCTCCATCGTGTTCTGCCCACACTCAGATAAACACCAGGAAGTCACATGTTTGTTTTGCTGCTGCTCTGGGTGTAAAGTGTCACTTTTACTCTGATTTTAAAAAAAGATTAAGCAGAGGAAATGTCTCAGACTAGAGCTGCATTTATTTAATATAAAATAAAAAGTAAAAGACCATATTTTTCTGACTATAAGTCGCTCCAGGGTCCAAGTCAAAAAATGTGTAATGAAGAAGAAAAAAAACATACATAAGTCACACTTTTTGGTGGAAATGTATTTTATAGTCAGTGTTGTGGAGTAACAGATTACATGTACCAGAGTAATCAGAGTACAAATGATGAGTAACTGTATTCAGTTACAGTTACTGTTTCAGTGAGTGGTAATTGGATTACAGTTACTTTGTTGAAATAAATTGATTACACAGAGAGATTTTACTGTTTTCACATTTGGGGCTAAATCCCCCCTTTTTTTTTCCCCTCAGTAATTTCACTCATTCTCAGAAACTAAACCAGGTCTAAACCAGGTCTAAACCAGGACTAAAAACAGGACAAAACCAGGTCTATAACCAGAACTAAAACAGGACTAAAACCGGACTAAACCAGGAGTAAAAGCAGGTTTAAACTAGATCTAAACCAGGTCTAAACCAGGACTAAACCAGGTCTAAAACCAGGTCTAAACCAGGTCTAAACCAGGTCTGAACAAGGACTAAACCACGACTAAATCAGGACTAAAACAGGACAAAATCAGGATTAAGCCAGGAGTAAACTAGGTCTAAACCAGGACTAAACCAGGTCTACACCAGGACCTGGTCTGGTCCCGGCCTGGTCTCGGTCTCAGTCCCGGCCTGGTCTCGGTCTCAGTCTCGGTCTGGTCCCAGCCTGGTCCTGGTCTCAGTCCCGGCCTGGTCTCAGTCTCTGTCTCAGTCCCGGCCTGGTCTCGGTCTCAGTCCCGGTCTGGTCTCGGTCTCAGTCCCGGTCTGGTCTCAGTCCTGATCTCATTCTCGGTCTGGTCCCGGTCTGGTCCCGGTCTGGTCCTGGACCTGGATCAGTCCTGGTTCAGTCCGACATCACAGTCACTGAAGTCACGTAAACGGGAAACGGTCGTTATCCTTTTTTTTTTTTCCATTTTTCATTTCAACACAAAATCGAAAAATGAAAAAAAAAAAAACGAATCATGATCTGTTTTGTTTTCATTATCGGACTCAGTATTGATCCTCCTGAACCTCTGGAGCTTCTTGTACTTGCACCACAGTTTGAGACTCGCTGGCCCATGACGACAACAACAACAAAAATAATAAAGTTCTAAACCTTTTTATTTCCATGATGCTTTGAGCTTCGGTCTGTGTCACTTCCTCTGCTCTTGTATCTGCCGCTGCATCAGAGGAAACTGTGTCCCGCTCGTCTCTTTATCTCTGCTCCTCCTCCGAGTCACGTAAAACCCCCGGACGCAGACCGACCGCACGGAAACGGAGCAGACGACCTTTAAAACCACCACCTCATGACGTCACCGGGTGGAGCAGAGGGAACGTTTGAGCTTTGGAGATGCAGAGGATGGGACCGAGTCGTTGGTTTGTCTTGAGTCTCGAGTCTTTGACCTCGAGTCCTAAAGCAAATACAGACGAGTCCGAGTCCAGGCTCGAGTCACGAAGTCCGAGTCCGAGTCCAGGCTCGAGTCATGAAGTACGAGTCCGAGTCCAGGCTCGAGTCACGAAGTCCGAGTCCAGGCTCGAGTCACGAAGTCCGAGTCCAGGCTCAAGTCACGAAGTCCAAGTCCAGGCTCAAGTCACTAAGTCCAAGTCCAAGTCCAGGCTCAAGTCACCAGGTCCAAGTCCAAGTCCAAGTCCAGGCTCAACTCACCAGGTCCAAGTCCAAGTCCAGGCTCAAGTCACCAGGTCCAAGTCCAGGCTCGAGTCACTAAGTCCAAGTCCAGGCTCGAGTTACTAAGTCCAAGTCCAAGTCCAGGCTCGAGTCACTAAGTCCAAGTCCAGGCTCGAGTTACTAAGTCCAAGTCCAAGTCCAGGCTCGAGTCGCTAAGTCCAAGTCAAGTCCAAGTCAAGTCCAAGTCAAGTCCTAGTCGTCTGCTTTGAGCTTCAAGTCGTTTCAAGCTTAGATTTTTGCAATTTATATGAATTTTAAACTAAATTGTTCTAAAAAAGTCATGGTCAATCATTTATATTAATGCATTGTACTGTATATTACTGTAGTACTTTTGAGTATCTGAGTACTTCAGTTTCATCCAAATACCAAACAGAAGCGGGAGGAACATGTTCCAGTTTGTTTCTGTAAAATTCAGTGTTGCATTTATCAACAGAAAAGAGAAAACTATTTTCTAAAAACATATTTTTTAGGAGAAGCGTCGAGTCTTTTCAAGTCACAGGCTAAAGTCTAAGTCAAGTCCCAAGTCACTGACCTTCAAGTCCAAGTCGAGTACCAAGTCTTAGTCCGTTTTATCAAGTCAGGTCTCTATGACTCATGTCCGACTCGACTCGCAGTCCCCACCTCTGCAGAGTAAAAATAAAGAGTTACTCAAACATGTAAATAAAACAAAACACAACTCCAGGTCTGTTTTTGACGAGGGAACGACGTCAGAACATGACTTAAAAATCCATATGTCATTTCTTCATTCGTTTTTTCAAAATAAAACCGAAAATAAGAAAATGAAAAAATTATATATATGTATATATATATATATATATATATATATATATATATATATATATATATATATATATATATATATATATATATATATATATATTGTGTTTAAATGAAAACAGGAAAAAACTAATAAACTGATAAACAGGACTGAACCAGGTCTAAATCAGGTCTAAACAAGGACTAAACTAGGTCTAAACCAGGTCTAAACCAGTCTCAGTCCTGGTCTCAGTCCCGGTCTGGTCCCGGTCTCAGTCCTGATCACCCGACAGTCTACGCAGGTGCAACTCTGGGCCCGTCCTGACACTTGGTCCTGGTTTAGCCCTGGTCCAGTCCTGGTTCAGTTGTGGTTCAGTCCTGGTTTAGACCTGGTTTAGTCCTGATTCAGTCCTGGTTTAGTCCTGATTCAGTCTTGGTTCAGTCCTGGTTTAGTCCTGGTTCAGACTTGGTTTAGTCCTGGTTCAGACTTGGTTTAGTCCTGGTTTAGTCCTGGTTCAGTCTTGGTTTAGTCCTGGTTTAGTCCTGGTTTAGTCCTGATTTAGTCCTGGTTTAGTCCTGGTTCAGACTAAGATTCATATTTATTTCATACATTCCTTTTGTTTTATTGACATATTTAAAATATTAACCATTTTTTTTTTTTAAGTAAATATTTGTATTGACTGCATTATAGACTCAATGTAGTGACATATTTCAGCCTCCAGGGGGGGTAGTGTCACCCCAGACCCACAAACTCCTCCTGCGCACAAAACACTGGGCCCTGATACACTCCGGCTCCGTCGACCCCGCTCCGTGTCTTCACTCCGTCCTCCGCCTCGGATCATTACTCCAGTCCGGGTTTTGTCTTGGGCACAACGGCCCCGGAAGCCGGAAGCCGCAGCTCCAACAACAACAACAACAACAGTCCGCTCCAAATCCCGCAAACATGGAGTAAAAAAACCCGAGAAAAGAGCCGCAGGACGCGCCGCGGGCAGGATGGCGAGTCCGGGGAGGAGCGGGGACATCATCCATCTGAACGTGGGCGGGAAGAGGTGAGGAGCCCCGGGCCGGAGAAACACCGGACCCGGGGCCGAGCTAACAGGCTAACTCCAGCTAGCCACCGGAAACGCGCTCTCCCGGACAAAAGCCGATTTAAACTCTCAAAAAAACAACAACATCGCTTTAATAAGACTGAAACGACAATCACGGGGAGTTCTGTCAGTAGATCTGTTCATATTTGAGCCTTAAAGCTGCACTGTGTAACTTTTCTGGTGGAGGATCCGTCAAACGCTTTTCTGTATGGACAATGTTGTGAAATTTACTTTTAAAATGTAATCCCCTACAGATTACAGATTACACACACCAAAATATAGTTTGTAACAGAATCCATTAAATTACTTAAAGTGAGTAATGTAATCTGATTACTTTGGATTACTTGATTTGCTGTAGAGTAACGAAGGTGAGGAAATCTTCACATAAGAAGTTTTGTCTGATAAAAGAAAATAAAAAGCCCAGATTTTACTGAACCAAATTAAAAATATTATTGATAGAAAACGAAGAAACATGTCCACACAGCAGGATTTAGTCCTGTTAAATCCTGTTTTAGCCCTGATTTAGGCCTGGGTTTAGTTCTGGTTTTGTCCTGTTTTAGTCATGTTTTAGTCCTGTTTTGGTCCTGGTTTAGTCTTGTTTTAGTTCTGTTTTAGTCCTGGTTTAGACCTGAGTTTAGACCTGGTTTAGTTCTGTTTTAGTCCCAGTTTTAGTCCTGGTTTAGACCTAGTTTAGACCTGTTTTGGTCCTGGTTTAGTCCTGGTTTTGTCCAGTTTTAGTCCTGTTTTAGTCCTGTTTTAGTTCTGTTTTAGTCCTGTTTTAGTCCTGGTTTAGACCTGGTTTAGTCCTCTTTTAGTCCTGTTTTAGACCTGTTTAGACCTGGTTTAGTTTCTGGCAATGAGTGGAATTACTGAGAGAAAAAAAAAAAGGGATTTAGCCCAAAATGTGAAAACAGGAAAATACTGCTATGTAATCCATTTATTTCAACAAAGTAACTGTAATCCAATTACCACTCACTGAAACAGTAACTGTAACCAAATACAGTTACTCATAATTTGTACTCTGATTACGTAACTCTAGTACATGTAATCTGTTACTCCACAACACTGTATATGGAGATGTTTATTACTTTGTCTGGAATGTTCCGCAGTACAGCATTAAACCTTTCTATGTCCGTGGAGACCAAACCAGACCAAGGTCCAGGTCAGATCTGTGAAGAGGCGTCAGAATGTTTTTGTTTTTCTCGATATTTTTGAGCTATAAAGCCACGTATAATTGAGAAAATGTAAAGTAGAGCTGTTTAATGTCACACTGCGGAACATTCCAGGCAGAGCAATGACGTCTCCATAGAAACAAGCAGGTGACAAACCCCCCAAACAAAAAGTTACACAGTGCAGCATTAAATTGTTAACAGCTAGTGTGTTTTATCATAAACTGTGTAAAGATTTAAGATTTAAGATTTAAGGCTCTGTCCGTATAAAATCTGAAGTTTTCAAGGAATCTCCCCTATGAGTCATTTCAGATTTGGCTGAAAAAAAAAATCAAAAAATTTCTAAAATTACCAAATGAAATAATCTAAAATTTTTCGTTCTTGAGTTATGACCCGTTGAAATTTGGGAGCCATGCTCAATTTTTCGAAAGCCTTAATTTATAAACATGTTTGAGATCATAACTTCATAAAAAATAGAACTAGGAAGACAAAAATTGATATTATTGTAGATTCTTGATCATAGATTCTGAATTTGTTGTCAAATATTGTGTGTCTTTATTAAGGGGGGGCGCTGTGGGGCCCCAAAATCTCACATTTGGTTGCCGCTCAATTTATTTATTTTCAATTTTTGAGTTCCAAGATTTATTTACTCCAAATAGATATTTACAAACTAACTGTTGAACCTGAATATTTGAGAGAATCAACATTTCTGACAACAATCTTACACTTTTCTGAACTTTCATGTGGATACTGTGGAGTCTAAAATATGTTCACAGACCAAATTTAACCTTTTTGACCCCTTCTTTGGAGCCTCGGTTCCCCATGTGGCACAGTTAGATGTTGATCAAATTAATAAAAGTAATAAAAAGTAATAAAAACATTTACTATTAACTTTCTTCATTTCAAATGGAATTTTTGAAAATGAGCTCTCATAGGTCATTTTTGGTGGACTTTAAGTACTTTACCAAAATACAGTAATCTGGTCTGTTATTTGTTCAACTGTTAGAAATTACATTTTAAAATTTCAGTGTGAAAAACCTCAACGGAAAATACCAACATACTGGAAAAATCTGCCCATTTTGGTCCCTTTGCCGCCTACATGTAGATTATCTGTATTGGTGTCCTGCACACTAAGTGTTCCTAACTACTAATGAACTTTGGAAATAAAATAATGTTTTACAATAATACTTTTTTTTTTTTTTTTTTTAATGAAGGTATATTCTCTCAAAAATGCTTATAAATTAAAGTTTCTGTGAGCATGGCCCCAAAATGTCAACGGGCCATAACCCGGGAACGACTGAAGGGACTGAGCAAAAATTTTTGATTCTTTCATTTGATAAATTTTCTAAAATTTTCCAGCCATAATAAAATAAGACATAATAATATAAATGTATACGTACAAGTAAAAATAAAATAGAAAAATAAGTAATTTAAAAATCTAGAAAATAAGAGGCCATAAGAAAAACTGTGCAAAAATAAACATAAGGGTGAGTTGTTGTACAGTTGTAGGGAGTATTATCTGTGACATAAGGGTGAGTTGTTGTACAGTTGTAGGGAGTATTATATGAATTGTAGTCCCAGTAAACCTGATTTTAAATAAAGAGGAGAACCATAGAATGATTTATTCTTCTCTCTACAACTCAAATCTCACGTTAGAAGAAAAAGTACAGACAGTAAATGTAGAGCCACAGAATATATTTATTGTTCCAGCTTTAATATTGAAGGAAGTCAACACAGTGATGCTCTAGTTTAATGTAATCACACAGACTAATGTAATTCACAAACTATTATTTCCAACGAAGCATAAAGTCATGAAAAGTCAGTGCTCCTCGTGTTGGGCCTTTCCCAGTGTAACGTGTGCGGGTGCGTTTGATTTCAGGTTCAGTACGTCCCGACAGACGCTCACGTGGGTCCCGGACTCCTTCTTCTCCAGGTCTGTGCTCATTTTTAATACAAATAAAGACCAGATTTCGGTTGTGTCTTATTTAAACGTTGATCCTGAGCGTGGTTTTGTTCTGTGCAGTTTGTTGAGCGGTCGGATCTCCACTCTGAAGGACGAGACCGGAGCCGTGAGTAACTGATTAACACTTCTCTAAATGTTGGTTTCATTATTTAATTGTTATGTTACTGTTTCATTTTCCTAACACACATAGTCTTTATTTTAGCAAGAGTTTAGATTTTGGATTTAGGGAAATTTACTGGATCTGTTCAGTTGATATCATAGACTAAAATACAGCTGTATGATTACACAATGATGCAACTAATTATTTTATATCCAGGTAAATACATTTTTGTAAGTGAAAAGTTAATTTATGATTTCTACTTTCACATACATTTGTGGACCCTGTTGTGGATTTAAAAAGCTAAATATCTGTATCAACCAGAGCATCAGGTCAAATATGGGTATCGTCTGAAAGTCCTGGTGTAATGAACACTTCTGTGTCTCAGATCTTCATCGACAGAGACCCGTCGCTCTTCGCTCCGATCCTGAACTTCCTTCGCTCCAAAGAGCTTCACCCGCGCTCCATCCACGTCCAGCTGCTGCTGCACGAGGCCGAGTTCTACGGGATCACGCCACTCGGTAACCCACGGCAACGCGCTCTCACCCCGCGGCAACGCACTGTAACCCATGGCAACGCACACATGTTGGGTCTCCATGTTTTTGGGGATTTTAATTCCATAACCTTCACCATAGTCTCAATTTACCTAAAACTAACCATGACTCTAACCTAAACCATAACCCACACTTACATGAACCCAGATCTGAACTTTAAACCTAATACTGTAACCCACAGCAACATATAACTCCACACAAACTTTGAAATTTGCTCATTCTTGTGAAAAATTTGCAAGGGCAGCAGTTTGAAGTTTGACAATTTGACAATAGTAAAAATCTGGTACTTTTTAAAGCTACAGTCTGTAACTTTCTAGATGTAGCTCATCACCTGCATGATTCCACGGAAAAGGAAATGGCCGGGCATGTTAACGCATTAATTAATTCATTATCGCCAACAATTATTTTATTTATTTATTTTTTATTGTAAACGTCTGGTGCTCACTGGCTTTTATTTTATTTTTTTTTAACTTTGATGTCTTTTCTTTACACTTTTTTTTACACTTTTTTTCTGACCACATGAGATGCAACATGTCCGAGCCTCCGTGGGCCACAGGCTCGACCCGGCTGTGCACTCCGGCTCTGGCCAGGCCGGACCAGCCTTTGTCTCTGAGCTTCCACGGGCTCTGGTTTCGTGATATGATCCCGCCCATAACTCCATGAAATCTGATTGGCTAAGACAACTGTCAATCTCAAACTCATCCCCACGCTGACTTGAGTTGCTCGGGTCTTTGTTCCAGCCACCGAAGCTCCTGCAGGTGTTTGTTTAGTTCAGCGCTGCAGGAGGAGTCACTGTTTTACCCAGATACAACTGGAAGAAAAACTGTGATTGGTCCATTTTTGTTCCATTATATTAACCCTTTGTTTCCCAAGAAATATTAGTCCAATTTTAAAACAATGATCTAGAAATTATTACTAGTGTCGTGTTTATTACTCACTGAATAAAAAATATTGAAAAAATATATTAGTAGTTAAAGAATTCTTTCAATATTTTTTCTTGGGCCTTCACTGAAAACCTTATAGACTCTGAGGGTTCAAATGTGAAAGAAATGCTGTTTGCACAAATGTTTGGCTCTTTGATTTACATTTCAAATAAAAGTCACTATACGCTACTTTTAATTCATTAATTGGTTTTGCATATAACATGCGATTAATGTGATTAATATTTTACATTTTTGCCCAGCCCTAGTTAAAACCATACTAGGGAACATTCTGCATGGAGATGGATATGTACTGTGGCTTTAACGAGTCTAAAATTAGTTTAAACATGTTCTTGTTATAAAGTGGGAAAAGATGTTCGTGTTATAGTTTATCTCTAAACCAAGAACAAACTTTTTATCTCCATCAAAATCTGTGGTGTTTTTAGCGGCGCTCTGATGTTCTCTCTCATCGTAATCTCCCATCTCTGTTCTCTTTCAGTGAGAAAACTGCAGTTATGTGACGAGCTGGACCGGTCCTCCTGCGGGAACGTGCTGTTCAACGGATACCTGCCCCCTCCTGGTAACACGACGCAATCACAGGGACGAGACTCTTTAAACCAGGGAGGGCATCTGACACACGGGGACGTTCAGCCTTTAAGGATTGTACAGTGTGACTTTTTTTTAATGATGTCGTAGTTTCAGATGGAGGACGGGGCCGGTCTAACTCTGTGGAGAATTTACTATTTTTTTAAAGAAATCTCCAAACTTGAGCTCCTCAGATGTTTCTCCTTCTCGTTCTTTGTTTGGGATCAGCTCCACAAACTCGTCACGTTCATCTTCTGGTTTAAACTAAATGAAGTAACTGTGAAAAAATCATGACTTTAGTTTGTTTCTCCGGACAAGAGAAAACCAGGACTGAACCAGGGTCTAAACCAGGTCTAAACCAGGAACTGAGCCAGGTCTAAACCAGGAACTAAGCCAGGTCTAAACTAGGAACTAAACCAGGTCTAAATCAGGGATTAAATCAGGACTAAACCAGGACTAAACTAATACTAAACCAGGTCTAAACCAGGAACTAAACCAGGTCTAAACTAGGTCTCAACCAGGTCTAAACCAGGGACTAAATCAGGACTAAACCAGGGTCTAAACCAGGGACTAAATCAGGACTAAACTAATACTAAACCAGGTCTAAACCAGGAGCTAAACTAGGTCTCAACCAGGTTCTAAACCAGGGGCTAAACCAGGGACTAAACCAGGGACTAAACAGGGGCTAAACCAGGGACTAAACCAGGGACTAAACCAGGGACTAAACCAGGGACTAAACCAAGGACTGAACTAGGTCTAAAACAGGACTGAACCAGGTTTGCGTTTGTTTATTTCTCCAGACAGAGAAGAGGCTGAACTTTGTGTGTTTTTGTTTCTTGTGGCAAGTTCCAGAAATTAGAGATTTAAACCATAAACCAGATCACACATCTGCACCTGACACTTACAGCAAACTCCACCTGTCTCTCACCAGTCTCTCACCTGTCTCTCACCTGTCTCTCACCTGTCTCTCACCTGTCTCTCACCTGTGTCTCTCACCTGTGTGACCTGTCTCTCACCTGTGTCTCACCTGTCTCTCACCTGTGTCTCTCACCTGTCTCACCTGTCCCTCACCTGTCTCTCACCTGTCTCTCACCTGTGTCTCTCACCTGTCTCACCTGTGTCTCTCACCTGTCCCTCACCTGTCCCTCTCACCTGTCTCTCACCTGTCTCTCACCTGTCTCTCACCTGTCTCTCACCTGTGTCTCTCACCTGTGTCTCTCACCTGTCTCTCACCTGTGTCTCTCACCTGTGTCTCTCACCTGTGTCTCTCACCTGTGTCTCTCACCTGTCTCTCACCTGTGTCTCTCACCTGTCCCTCACCTGTCCCTCACCTGTCCCTCACCTGTGTCTCTCTCCCTGTCTCTCACCTGTGTCTCTCACCTGTCCCTCACCTGTCTCTCACCTCACTGTCTGTGTCCCTCACCTGTCTCTCACCTGTGTCCCTCACCTGTTCTCTCACCTGTGTCCACCTCACCTGTCTCTCACCTGTGTCTCACCTGTGTCTCACCTGTGTCTCACCTGTCTCTCACCTGTCTCTCTCACCTGTCTCTGTCACCTGTGTCTCTCACCTGTCTGTCTCTCACCTGTCTCTCTCACCTGTCTCTCACCTGTGTCTCTCACCTGTGTCTCTCACCTGTCTCTGTCTCACCTGTCTCACCTGTGTCTCTCACCTGTCCTCACCTGTGTCTCACCTGTCTCTCACCTGTCGCCCCTGCCTGTTGTGTTTTGCAGTTTACCCTCTGAAGCGGCGAAACCGTCACAGCGTCGCCGGGTCTCAGTTCATGTCGAGCAGAGCGCCCCCGGTGGAGAGGGCGGTGCGCCGCAGTAACACCATGCCTCCAAACCTGGGGCATTCTGGGATTCTGAGTCCGCGAGGCCCAGAGGAACGCCCCGCCCCCTCGCAGTCACACGACCCCGGCCTCGTGCGCATCATCTGCGGACATCACAACTGGATCGCCGTGGCCTACGCGCAGTTCGTCGTCTGTTACAGGTGAAATAAATGTAATAATGTAATAAAAATAAATGGCATGACATCACAAGGTGGAACAGAGCGTTTGGAGCTTTGAAGATGTAAACAGACGAATAATAAAGAGTTACTCAAACATGTGTGAATGAAGATGATGATGAGGTAACAGCATTTTAACACGTGGCTCAAAAGTAAAAAATTTGTGTAATATATAGACAAAAAGAGAGTTTTTGTCTTTTATTGTGAAAGGGTGTGTTTTTCAATCCCTTTTATTGTGAAAGGGCTTAGTTTTTCTGTCCCTTTCATGAAAGGGTGTTTTTTTTTTTTTATATCCCTTTTATTATGAAAGGGTGTGTATTTTCTGTCCCTTTTATTGTGAAAGGGCTTAGTTTTTCTCTCCCTTTTATTATGAAAAGGTTCAGTTTTTCTGTCTCTTTTATTGTGAAAGGACTTAGTTTTTTCTGTCTCTTTTATTGTGAAAGGGTTTAGTTTTTTCTGTCTCTTTTATTGTGAAAGGCTTAGTTGTTTCTGTCTCTTTTATTGTGAAAAGGTTCAGTTTTTCTGTCTTTTATTGTGAAAGGGGTTAGTTTTTCTGTCCCTTTTATTGTGAAAGGACTTAGTTTTTTCTGTCCCTTTTATTGTGAAAAGTGTACATATCTGTTTCTTCCAGAGTGAAGGAGTCGACGGGCTGGCAGACCGTGTTCACCTCGCCGCGTTTGGATTGGCTGATCGACCGCGTGGCCCTGAACGCCAAAGTGATGGGCGGAGCTCTGGGCGAACACGACAAAATGGTGGCCGTCGCTTCGGTCACGGAGATCATCCTTTGGTCCATCTGCCCCGACGGAAACGGGAACGAGATCGGTCAGAAATGTTCACTCAGCGCTCAGAGTGTGGATGTCGACTTTACCGTCTCATTCTCGGGGATTTTTATTAGAATTCTCCAAAATCTCAAAGTCCATTCTCCAACCACAACACCTGGGAGGGCATCTGACGCACCACAACATCTGCAGATTAGAGATTCAGAGTGATAAAAATTCCTTTAAAACTAAATATTATATCTTTTTGAATTGTGAAAAGTCCTCAAAATGGCTCCTATAACAGGAAGCTGAAACCCAAGACTAGGAGGATGGGAGGGCATCTGGCGCACAGGGATGTAGATATTCTGTCCCTTTTTATTGTGAAAGAGGCTTAGTTTTTCTATCCCTTTTACATTCCCTTTTATTGTGAAAGGGCTTAGTTTTTCTGTCTCATTTTATTGTGAAAGGGCTTAGTTTTACTGTTTCTTCTATTGTCCCTTTTATTGTGAAAGGGCTTAGTTTTTCTGTCCGTTTTGTCTGTTTTAATCCTAAATAATTGTCTTTTCAGGCGTGTTTAGCCTGAATGTTCCAGTGGAGGCGCTGTTCTTCATCGGGAATCAGCTGATCGCCACCAGTCACACGGGGAAAGTGGGAGTGTGGAACGCCGTCACCAAGCACTGGCAGGTACCATGGCAACACCGCAGCAACGCCACAACAACACCATAGCAACGGCATAGCAACTACATCCCTCAAACCACGTGAAAATTATTACTTTAATTTATTTTGATATCAGTATTGACACTTCCACAAATAAATACAACCCTTTTATGTACCGAGTCTCCGGCCTCTGTCTGTTCAGCTCTGGTCCCTGAGCTCAGAGCTGCAAACACATTTTTACTGATGGACTCGATAAATCCTCTGAGATACTGATGACCTCTGTGTGACCTCTGTTTGTCCTCTGTGTGTCCTCTGTGTGACCTCTGTTTGTCCTCTGTGTGACCTCTGTTTGTGACCTCTGTTTGTCCTCTGTGTGACCTCTGTTTGTCCTCTGTGTGTGACCTCTGTGTCCTCTGTGTGACCTCTGTTTGTCCTCTGTGTGACCTCTGTTTGTCCTCTGTGTGACCTCTGTTTCTCCTCTGTGTGACCTCTGTGTGACCTCTGTTTGTCCTCTGTGTGACCTGTTTGTCCTCTGTGTGACCTCTGTTTGTCCTCTGTGTGTGACCTGTTTGTCCTCTGTGTGACCTCTGTTTGTCCTCTGTGTGACCTATGTGTGACCTGTTTGTCCTGTGTGACCTCTGTTTGACCTCTGTTGTGACCTCTGTGTGACCTCTGTGTGACCTCTGTGTGACCTCTGTTTGTCCTCTGTGTGACCTCTGTTTGACCTCTGTGTGACCTCTGTGCCTCTGTGTGACCTCTGTGTGACCTCTGTCCCTCAGAACCAGGATGTGGTCCCCATCAGCTCGTACGACACGGCCGGCTCCCTGCTCATCCTCGGCTGCAACAACGGCTCCATCTACTACATCGGTGAGTCACACAACCTGCCTGTGTGTGTTGTTGTTGTTGAAGCTGCCTGTGTGTGTTGTTGTTGAAGCTGCCTGTGTGTGTGTGTTGTTGAAGCTGCCTGTGTGTGTTGTTGAAGCTGCCTGTGTGTGCTGTGTTGTTGAAGCTGCCTGTGTGTGTTGTTGTTGTGAAGCTGCTGTGTGTGTGTTGTTGTTGAAGCTGCCTGTGTGTGTGTTGTTGTGTTGAAGCTGCCTGTGTGTGTGTTGTTGAAGCTGCCTGTTGTGTGTTGTTGTTGAAGCTGCCTGTGTGTGTTGTTGTTGTTGTGAAGCTGCCTGTGTGTGTGTGTGTGTGTGTGTTGTTGAAGCTGCCTGTGTGTGTGTGTTGTTGAAGCTGCCTGTGTGTGTGTGTTGTTGTTGAAGCTGCCTGTGTGTGTGTTGTGTTGTGTGAAGCTGCCTGTGTGTGTGTTGTTGAAGCTGCCTGTGTGTGTGTGTGTGTTGTTGAAGCTGCCTGTGTGTGTGTTGAAAGCTGCCTGTGTGTGTGTGTGTGTGTGTGCTTGTGTGTGTGTTGTTGAAGCTGCCTGTGTGTGTTGTTGAAGCTGCCTGTGTGTGTTGTTGTTGTGAAGCTGCCTGTGTGTTGTGTTGTTGTTGTTGTTGAAGCTGCCTGTGTGTGTGTTGTTGAAGCTGCCTGTGTGTGTTGTTGTTGAAGCTGCCTGTGTGTGTGTGTTGTTGAAGCTGCCTGTGTGTGTTGTGAAGCTGCCTGTGTGTTGTTTGTTGTGAAGCTGCCTGTGTGTGTGTGTTGTTGAAGCTGCCTGTGTGTGTTGTTGTGTGTGTGTGTTGTGTGCCTGTGTGTGTGTGTTGAAGCTGCCTGTGTGTTGTGTTGTTGAAGCTGCCTGTGTGTGTTGTGTTGTTGTGTGAAGCTGCCTGTGTGTGTGTTGTTGAAGCTGCCTGTGTGTGTGTGTGAAGCTGCCTGTGTTGTTGTTGAAGCTGCCTGTGTGTGTTGTTGTTGAAGCTGCCTGTGTGTGTGTTGTTGTTGTTGAAGCTGCCTGTGTGTGTTGTTGTTGAAAGCTGCCTGTGTGTGTGTTGTTGTTGTTGAAGCTGCCTGTGTGTTGTTGTTGTTGAAGCTGCCTGTGTGTGTGTGTTGTTGTTGAAGCTGCCTGTGTGTGTGTGTGTGTTGTTGAAGTGTGTGAAGCTGCCTGTGTGTGTTGTTTGAAGCTGCCTGTGTGTTGTTGTTGTTGAAGCTGCCTGTGTGTGTGTTGTTGTTGTTGTGAAGCTGCTGTGTGTGTTAAGCTGAAGCTGCCTGTGTGTGTGTTGTTGAAGCTGCCTGTGTGTGTTGTGAAGCTGCCTGTGTGTGTTGTTGTGTTGAAGCTGCCTGTGTGTTGTTGCTGAAGCTGCCTGTGTGTGTTGTTGAAAGCTGCCTGTGTGTGTTGTTGTTGAAGCTGCCTGTGTGTGTGTGAAGCTGCCTGTGTGTGTTGTTGATGAAGCTGCCTGTGTGTGTGTTGTTGAAGCTGCCTGTGTGTGTTGTTGAAGCTGCCTGTGTGTGTGTTGTTGAAGCTGCCTGTGTGTGTGTGTTGTTGAAGCTGCCTGTGTGTGTGTTGATGAAGCTGCCTGTGTGTGTGTTGTTGAAGCTGCCTGTGTGTGTTGTTGAAGCTGCCTGTGTGTGTGTGTTGTTGAAGCTGCCTGTGTGTGTTGTTGAAGCTGCCTGTGTGTGTGTTGTTGTTGTGAAGCTGCCTGTGTGTGTTGTTGTTGAAGCTGCCTGTGTGTGTGTTGTGAAGCTGCCTGTGTGTGGTTGTTGAAGCTGCCTGTGTGTGTTGTTGTTGTTGTTGAAGCTGCCTGTGTGTTGTTGTTGAAGCTGCCTGTGTGTGTTGTTGTTGAAGCTGCCTGTGTGTTGTTGTGAAGCTGTGTGTGTTGTTGTTGCTGAAGCTGCCTGTGTGTGTGTTGTTGAAGCTGCCTGTGTGTGTTGTTGCTGAAGCTGCCTGTGTGTTGTTGTTGTTGTTGAAGCTGCCTGTGTGTGTTGTTGAAGCTGCCTGTGTGTGTGTTGAAGCTGCCTGTGTGTGTTGTTGCTGAAGCTGCTGTGTGTGTTGTTTTGAAGCTGCCTGTGTGTTGTTGTTGAAGCTGCCTGTGTGTGTGTTGTTGAAGCTGCCTGTGTGTGTGTGTGTTGCTGAAGCTGCCTGGGTGTGTGTGTGTTGTTGTTGAAGCTGCCTGTGTGTGTGTTGTTGCTGAAGCTGCCTGTGTGTGTGTTGTTGAAGCTGCCTGTGTGTGTGTTGTTGAAGCTGCCTGTGTGTGTTGTTGAAGCTGCCTGTGTGTGTGTTGTTGAAGCTGCCTGTGTGTGTGTTGTGTGTGTGTTGTTGAAGCTGCCTGTGTGTGTGTTTCAGATGTGCAGAAGTTTCCTCTGAGGATGAAGGACAACGACCTCCTGGTGACGGAGCTTTACAGAGACCCAACAGAGGACGCCATCACCGCCCTGAGCGTGTACCTAACCCCCAAGACAAGTACTACACACTACTACTACTACTACTACTACTACTACTACTGCCATCACCGCCCTGAGCGTGTACTCACCCCCAAGACAAGTACTACACATACTACTACTACTACTACTACTACTACTACTACCATCACCGCCCTGAGCGTGTACCTCACCCCCAAGACAAGTACTACACATACTACTACTACTACTACTACTACTACTACTACTACTGCCATCACCGCCCTGAGCGTGTACCTCACCCCCAAGACAAGTACTACACATACTACTACTACTACTACTACTACTACTACTACTGCCATCACCGCCTGAGCGTGTACCTCACCCCCAAGACAAGTACTACACATACTACTACTAACTACTACTACTACTACTACTCAATCGCCGCCTGAGCGTGTACCTCACCCCCAAGACAAGTACTACACATACTACTACTACTACTACTACTACTACTACTACTACTACTACTATACTACTACTACTGCCATCACCGCCCTGAGCGTGTACCTCACCCCAAGACAAGTACTACACATACTAACTACTACTACTACTACTACTACTACTACTACTGCCACCCGCCCTGAGCGTGTACCTCACCCCCAAGACAAGTACTACACATACTACTACTACTACTACTACTACTACTACTACTACTGCCATCACCGCCCTGAGCGTGTACCTCACCCCCAAGACAAGTACTACACATACTACTACTACTACTACTACTACTACTACTACTACTACTACTACTGCCATCACCGCCCTGAGCGTGTACCTCACCCCCAAGACAAGTACTACACATACTAACTACTACTACTACTACTACTACTACTGCCATCACCGCCCTGAGCGTGTACCTCACCCCCAAGACAAGTACTACACATACTACTACTACTACTACTACTACTACTGCCATCACCGCCCTGAGCGTGTACCTCACCCCCAAGACAAGTACTACACATACTACTACTACTACTACTACTACTACTACTACTACTACTACTACTACTACACTACTACTACTACTACTACTACTCCCTGAGCGTGTACCTCACCCCCAAGACAAGTACTACACATACTACTACTACTACTACTACTACTACTACTGCCATCACCGCCCTGAGCGTGTACCTCACCCCCAAGACAAGTACTACACATACTACTACTACTACTACTACTACTACTACTACTACTGCCTACTACTACTACTACTACTACTACTACTACTACTAACTACCGCCCTACCCTACCCCCAAGACTACTACACATACTACTACTACTACTATACTACTACTACTACCAATCGCCGTAGCGTGTACCTCACCCCAAGACAAGTACTACACTACTACTACTACTACTACTACTACTACTACTACTACTCACCGCCCTGAGCGTGTACCTCACCCCCAAGACAAGTAGTACTACATACTACTACTACTACTACTACTACTACTACTACTACTACTACTACTGCCATCACCGCCCTGAGCGTGTACCTCACCCCCAAGACAAGTACTACACATACTACTACTACTACTACTACTACTACTACTACTACTACTGCCATCACCGCCCTGAGCGTGTACCTCACCCCCAAGACAAGTACTACACATACTACTACTACTACTACTACTACTACTACTGCCATCACCGCCCTGAGCGTGTACCTCACCCCCAAGACAAGTACTACACATACTACTACTACTACTACTACTACTACTACTACTGCCATCACCGCCCTGAGCGTGTACCTCACCCCCAAGACAAGTACTACACATACTACTACTACTACTACTACTACTACTACTACTACTACTACTACTACTACTACTACTACTACTACTACTACTACTACTACTGCCATCACCGCCCTGAGCGTGTACCTCACCCCCAAGACAAGTACTACACATACTACTACTACTACTACTACTACTACTACTGCCATCACCGCCCTGAGCGTGTACCTCACCCCCAAGACAAGTACTACACATACTACTACTACTACTACTACTACTACTACTACTACTACTACTACTACTGCCATCACCGCCCTGAGCGTGTACCTCACCCCCAAGACAAGTACTACACATACTACTACTACTACTACTACTACTACTACTACTACTACTACTACTACTACTACTACTACTACTACTACTACTACTACTACCACCGCCCTGAGCGTGTACCTCACCCCCAAGACAAGTACTACACATACTACTACTACTACTACTACTACTACTACTACTACTACTACTGCCATCACCGCCCTGAGCGTGTACCTCACCCCCAAGACAAGTACTACACATACTACTACTACTACTACTACTACTACTACTACTACTACTACTACTACTGCCATCACCGCCCTGAGCGTGTACCTCACCCCCAAGACAAGTACTACACATACTACACTACTACTACTACTACTACTACTACTACTACTACTACTGCCATCACCCGCCTGAGCGTGTACCTCACCCCAAGACAAGTACTACACATACTACTACTACTACTACTACTACTACTACTACTACTGCCATCACCGCCCTGAGCGTGTACCTCACCCCCAAGACAATACTACTACTATACTAACTACTACTACTACTACTACTACTACTACTACTACTACTACTACTACTACTACTACTATACTACTAACTACTACTACTGCCATCACCGCCCTGAGCGTGTTACCTCACCCCAAGACAAGTACTACATACATACTACTACTACTACTACTACTACTACTGCCTACTACACCGCCCTGAGCGTGTACCTCACCCCCAAGACAAGTACTACACATACTACTACTACTACTACTACTACTACTACTACTACTACTACTACTACTGCCATCACCGCCCTGAGCGTGTACCTCACCCCCAAGACAAGTACTACACATACTACTACTACTACTACTACTACTACTACTACTACTACTACTGCCATCACCGCCCTGAGCGTGTACCTCACCCCCAAGACAAGTACTACACATACTACTACTACTACTACTACTACTACTACTACTACTACTGCCATCACCGCCCTGAGCGTGTACCTCACCCCCAAGACAAGTACTACACATACTACTACTACTACTACTACTACTACTACTACTACTACTGCCATCACCGCCCTGAGCGTGTACCTCACCCCCAAGACAAGTACTACACATACTACTACTACTACTACTACTACTACTACTACTACTACTACTACTGCCATCACCGCCTGAGCGTGTACCTACCACCCAAGACAAGTACTACACTACTACTACTACTACTACTACTACTGCCATCACCGCCCTGAGCGTGTACCTCACCCCCAAGACAAGTACTACACATACTACTACTACTACTACTGCCATCACCGCCCTGAGCGTGTACCTCACCCCCAAGACAAGTACTACACATACTACTACTACTACTACTACTACTACTACTACTACTACTACACTACTACTACTGCCCTGTACCTCACACCTAAGACAAGTACTAATACTACTTCTAATACTGCTGTTACTATTACTACTTCTACTACTATTACTGCTATGATTACTACTGCACCGAGGACCTGCACCTACCTGACTCCACAGACAAGTACTACTACTACAATCACTGCTACTGCTATAATACAACACTGAGTATTTACCTCACCCTTAAAACAAATACTACTACTACTTTTACTGCTCTTAATATTTCTTTAGTTTTGTGACTGAAAACTATAATAATAATACTTTTTATGTGCGAGTACTTTGTAAGAGGTGAAGTCGCTCCTCGCTGTTGTTCTTAGTGTTTCGTGTGTTTTGTGTTTTGTTTCTGAGGCGACAGCGGGAACTGGATCGAGATCGCGTACGGGACGAGTTCTGGGACGGTCCGGGTCATCGTGCAGCACCCGGAGACCGTGGGATCTGGACCTCAACTCTTCCAGACCTTCAGTGTTCACCGCAGCCCAGTCACCAAGATCATGCTCTCTGAGAAGCACCTCATATCAGGTACAGGACCGGGACCGGGACCAGGACCCGGGACTGCACCTGAACTGGACCAGGACCAGAACCCGGGACTGAACAGAGAATGGACCAGGACCCGGGACTGGACAGGGACTGGACCAGGACCCGGGACTGGACAGGGACTGGACCAGGATTGGGACTGGGTCTGGACCGGGACTGGGACTGGGTCTGGACTGGGACCGGGACTGGGACTGGATCTGGACTGGGACTGGGACTGGACCTGGACTGGACCGGGACCTAGGACTGGACAGGGACTGGATCAGGACTGGACAGGGACTGGACCAGGATCTGGGACTGGACCTGGACCCAGGACTGGACAGGGACTGGACCGGGATTGGGACTGGGTCTGGACCGGGACTGGACCGGGACTGGGACTGGGTCTGGACCGGGACTGGGACTGGGTCTGGACCGGGACTGGGACTGGATTGGACCGGGACTGGGACTGGGACTGGACCTGGACTGGGACTGGACCTGGACTGGACCTGGACCGGACCAAGGACTGGACAGGGACTGGATCAGGACCGGGACCCAGGACTGGACCAAGACCCACGATTGAACCAGGTACTGGACTAGGGTTGAGACTGGGGCTGGACCGGGGCTGGACCAGGACTAGACCAGACACCAGACCAGGACTGGACCAGGACTAGACCAGACACCAGACCAGGACTGGACCGGGACTAGACTTGTTTCCCCGAGGCCCCTCCCTCTCGCGTTAACAACAGGTTTGATTGACAGTGTTGCTAAGCACTTGTTGGTTTACCTTCAACATCCTCGCTCCTGATTGGCTCTTTTGTTGCTATGACACTCACGGTCTTTGAATTCCAAATATGGAACTCGACTCCAAGTTGCTCCAAAATCAGCTCCTTCAACCGCTCGCCTCGATGAGTTTGGAGCCGAACTGGAGAAAAGGGAAACGGGCGTGATCCGAGCACAAACGCCCGCTCTGCTTCAAAATCATGGGTCAGATCTTAAACGTGCGTCTGTTGTGTTTTTGTGTGTTTCTTCGTCAGTGTGTGCAGATAATAATCATGTTCGGACGTGGACGGTGACGCGCTTCAGGGGGATGATCTCCACTCAGCCCGGCTCCACCCCCCTCACCTCCTTCAAGATCCTGAGTCTGGACGAAGGCGAGGGGCAGGGGGGCTGCAGCGCCGGCACCGACATCGGTATGATCACCGTCCTCAAACTTTCAACTCCAGAACTTTTGATACGCATGAAGAAACTCGATACTACGCAGATTCTGATCCTACAATGAGAATAAAAAACACTTTCTTATACAATATACAGCGATTTTCCACATTAAACGGTCAAACTTTCTTTTCTATTCCCATGTGGCCCTATATCTGTGTCCATCAGTGGTCCAGGTCTAAACCAGGTCTAAACCAGGTCTAAACCAGGTCTAAATCAGGTCTAAACCAGGTCTAAACCAGGTCTAAACCAGGTCAGGTCTAAACCAGGTCTAAACCAGGTCTAAATCAGGTCTAAACAGGTCTAAACCAGGTCTAAATCAGGTCTAAATCAGGTCTAAACAGGTCTAGGTCTAAACAGGTCTAAAGGTCTAAACCAGGTCTAAAGGTCTAAATCAGGTCTAAACCAGGTCTAAACCAGGTCTAAATCAGGTCTAAATCAGGTCTAAATCAGGTCTAAACCAGGTCTAAACCAGGTCTAAACCAGGTCTAAACCAGGTCTAAACCAGGTCTAAACCAGGTCTAAACCAGGTCTAAATCAGGTCTAAACCAGGTCTAAACCAGGTCTAAACCAGGTCTAAATCAGGTCTAAACCAGGTCTAAATCAGGTCTAAATCAGGTCTAAACCAGGTCTAAACCAGGTCTAAATCAGGTCTAAACCAGGTCTAAATCAGGTCTAAACCGGGTCTAAACCAGGTCTAAACTGGGTCTATCTTCTGGTTTTCCTCAGGTCCGTATGGGGAGAGGGATGATCAGCAGGTTTTCATTCAGAGGGTCGTCCCAGACACAGAGAAACTCTACGTCCGTCTGTCGTCCAATGGGAAGAGGTGGGTCTGAAGGTCTGAGGGTCTTAGGAGGTCTGAGGGGCTGGGGTTCTGAGGGTCTGTGAGTCTGAAGGTCTGAGGGTCTGAAGGTCTAAGGGGATCTGAGATCTGAGGGTTTGGATCTTTAGGGTTTGAAGGTTTGAAAGTCTGGATTTGGGGTTCTGAGGGTTTGGAGATCTGGGGGTCTGAAACTTTGAAGGTCTGGATCTAGGGTTGTTAGGGTCTGAAGGTCTGAAAGTCTAGATTAGATAGGTTCTGGGGATCTGAAGGTCCGAGGGTGTCTGGAGGATCTGGTTGTCTGGATTTGATGTTCTGAGGGTCTGGAGATCTGGATCTGGGCATCTGCAGGTCTTGGGGGTCTGGTCCAACAGCACTGAAGTTCTGAGCCGTAAATACAGGTCTCATTTAGTCTTTTTGCAGACACGAAAACACACAAATATTTAGTGATCGGTTACTCAACTCTATAAAAATCTGCCGTATTTAACACCGTAAACAAGTTGAAATTTGTTTTTAAACGATCCCTGTCTGAATGTAGAAGAGCTGAAAACCTCCTCTGTCTGAGAAACAGAGTCGGTCAACAAACCCGGTCTGACCCCGGTCTGACCCGGTCTGACCCGGTGTGTGCAGGGTGTGTGAGGTTCGCTCGGTGGACAGCACGTCCATCACCTGCTTCACGGTCCACGAGTGTGAAGGCTCCAGTCGGATCGGCTCCAGGCCCAGGAGGTACCTCTTCTCCGGACACAGCAACGGATCCATCCAGATGTGGGACCTGACCACGGCCATGGACATCGCCGGGAAGGTGGACATCAGAGGTAAGACCCGGACCGGGACTGGACCGGGACTGGACCTGATCTCTAAACCTGATCTAAACCTGGTCTAAACCCTGGTCTCTCTCAGCTCTGGGGGGTCCCACAGAGGAGGAGCTGCTGGAGCTGCTGGACCAGTGTGACCTGGCTCTGACCCGAACTCCAGACAGTACACCCCGAGCCTCCACCTGCAGGTAACAACTCACCTGTCCTCACCTGTCCTCACCTGTCCTCACCTGTCCTCACCTGTCCTCACCTGTCCTTCACCTACCTGTCCTCACCTGTCCTTCACCTGTCCTCACCTGTCCTCACCTGTCCTCTCCTGTCCTTCACCTGTCCCTCACCTGTCCTCACCTGTCCTCTGTCGCCTGTCCTCACCTGTCCTTTACCTGTCCTTGTGTGTCCTCACCTGTCCTCACCTGTCCTCGCCTGTCCTCCCTGTCCTGTCCTCTCACCTGTCCCTCACCTGTCCTCACCTGTCCTGTCCTCACCTGTCCCGTCCTCACCCTGTCCTCGTCCTCACCTCACCTGTCCTCACCTGTCCTTCACCTGTCATCCTCCGTCTCTGTCCTCACCCGTCCGTCCTTCATTTTGTCCTTCACCTGTCCTCACCTGTCCTTCACCCGTCCTCACCTGTCTCTCACCTGTCCTCAGTGTTCACATGTCTCACGTCTGTGTCTCCAGCAGAGACAGTACGTAGCTCCTCCTCGTACACTGCTCCCTACAGTCTGTGTCACACTCTGTTTTCTCTCTGACATTAAAACTTACACAGAACCTGAGAAAAACATCATGTTTATCACGAGTCGTGTCGTGGGTTTGATTAAAGTCGTATTCAAGTATTTAAAAGTGAATCTCTTTGTCGTTTCTGAGTTTATCGTTGTAAAATAAAAAGTGAGTAAAAATCAAACTCTCGTCTGTTAGAATATTTCAGCTGTGAGTCTCTGTGGAGCTGGTTTCTGTTTCTGCGTCTGACGAGGACAAAAGAACTGATTCAGCCCAAAATAAAAGACACACAGAGACCTGGAGGGACACGAGTATCGAGTATCGAATCATGACACCGATATTGAACGATTCGATATTACGTCGGTTATCGTTGCATCTCGTCTAGACTCGTTTTGATCCAAAATGAAGCTCACGACAGAAACTCTATTATTTTATTTTTATTTTATATGATTTTCTCCTCTTTTTTCTCCGTGCAGCCTCCAGTCTCCGTTCTGTGACTTCAGACCGGAGCGGCCGCACTCCAGAGGGGGAGGAGCCACAGGGGGCGTGTCCTCGGTGGGCTCGTCCTGCTCTCTGATTGGCTCTTTTCCTCGTCACGCTCCGTCCACCGTGCCTCAGTCCAGACCCAGTCCCAGACCCAGTCCCAGACCCAGTCCCAGACCTAGTCCCAGACCGCTGCGGTTCGTGGAGCGCTGTCAGGAGCTCGCCAAGGAGGGGGCGGGGCCAGAGTCAGGGAGGCGGAGCTTGGCGCTCTGCAGCGAATCAGAGGCCAGATTCGGTCTGAGGACGCCGCCCGCTTCCTTCCCTCAGCCGTCGCCCGGGAGCCGCCTCCCCACGGCGCCGGCGTCAGCGTCGTCGTCGATGACATCACCGCCGCACCGCAGAGCCACACCCACCTCCCCCACGGGCCACGCCCCCTCACCTGCTGCTGCCGCGGCAACGCCACACAACCCCGAAAACCCCGCCCCCACCACCAGCCCCAAGCCCCCCCTCAACGAGACCAGCTTCTGAACCGGGACTAAACCGGGACTAGACCGGGACTAAACCGGGACTGGACCGGGACTAAACCGGGACTAAACCAGGACTGAACCGGGACTAAACTAGGACTGGACCAGGACTAAATCAGAACTAAACCAGGACTGAACCAGGACTGGACCAGGACTAAATCAGAACTAAACCAGGACTGAACCAGGACTGAACCAGGACTGGACCAGGACTAAATCAGAACTAAACCAGGACTAAACCAGGACTGGACCGGGACTAAACCGGGACTGGACCAGGACTAAACCAGGACTAAACCAGGACTGGACCAGGACTAAACTAGGACTGGACCAGGACTAAATCAGAACTAAACCAGGACTGAATCAGGACTGGACCGGGACTAAACCGGGACTAAACCAGGACTGAACCAGGACTAAACCAGGACTGGACCAGGACTAAATCAGAACTAAACCAGGACTGAACCGGGACTGGACCCGGGGACTGGACCGGGACTGGACCAGGACTAAATCAGAACTAAACCGGGACTAAACCGGGACTGGACCAGGACTAAACCAGGACTGGACCAGGACTAAACTAGGACTGGACCAGGACTAAATCAGAACTAAACCAGGACTAAACCAGGACTGGACCAGGACTAAATCAGAACTAAACCAGGACTGAACCAGGACTGGACCAGGACTAAATCAGAACTAAACCAGGACTGAACCGGGACTGGACCAGGACTAAATCAGAACTAAACCGGGACTAAACCGGGACTGGACCAGGACTAAACCAGGACTGGACCAGGACTAAACTAGGACTGGACCAGGACTAAATCAGAACTAAACCATTACTGAACCGGGACTGGACCGGGACTGGACCGGGAATGGACCAGGACTAAATCAGAACTAAACCGGGACTAAACTAGGACTGAACCAGGACTGAACCAAGACTAAACTAGGACTGAACCAGGACTGAACCAGGACTGGACCAAGTCTAAACCAGGTCTGGACCAGAACTAAACCAGAACTGAAAACAGGATTAAATCAGGACTAAACCGGGTCTAAATCGGGTCCTTGTCTTCCGTCGGTTCTCTTCTCTTCGGGACGTTTCCGTTTGTTTTGCACAGCTCTGAAGGTAGAAGCCAAAATGTACTCGAGTAAGAGTACCGTTACTTCAGAATAATAGAAGTACAAAGCAGTGGGCCAAGGAATGACTCGAGTAAAAAGAGTAAAAGTATTTGGGAAAACCACTCGTCAAGAAAGAGTAAGTGAAAGTGTGAAGGACAAACCTCACAGTGCGACGAGGCACAACTTTGACTAAAATAAAAATTACACTGTACTAGAATTACTCGAGTAGGAGTAAAAGTAGGTGGTCTGAAGTATTTTTATTTAAAAGTTACTCGAGTAAAATGTACCACTTCTGTTCTCTGCTGTTTCTTCTCTGGGTCAGGACCAAAGTCGAACCTTTAAAAAAAATCTGAGTTTGATACAACGGCCTCCTCAAACCAGAACTAAACCAGAACTGAACCAGGACTGAACCAGGACTGAACCAGGACTAAACCAGGACTAAACCAGGACTAAACCAGGAAATTAAACCAGGACTAAACAGGACTAAACCAGGATTAAACCAGGACTAAACCAGGACTAAACCAGGACTAAACTAAACCAGGGCTAAACCAGGACTGAAACCAAGACTAAAACCAGGGTAAAACGAGGACTAAATGAGTACTAAAACAGGACTAAACCAGGTCTGAACCAGGACTAAAACAGGATTAAACCAGGACTAAACCAGGACTAAACCAGGATTAAACCAGGACTAAACCAGGACTAAACCAGGACTAAACCAGGACTAAACCAGGACTGAACCAGGACTGAACCAGGACTAAACCAGGACTAAACCAGGACTAAACCAGGACTGAACCAAGACTAAACCAGGGCTAAACGAGGACTAAATGAGTACTAAAACAGGACTAAAACAGGGACTAAAACAGGACTAAACCAGGTCTGAACCAGGACTAAAACAGGGCTAAACAGGGACTAAACTGGGACTAAACCTGGACTAAACCGGGGCTTAACCAGGTCTAAACCAGGACTAAAACAGGGCTAAACCAGGACTAAACCTGGACTAAACTACAGTTGTTTTCTCATTTGCACGTTGACCACATCAGAATTGGGTCTCAACCGGGACTAAACCCAAAACTAAACCTGGACTAGACCACTTCTAGAACAGGACCAAACCAAGTCCACATCGGGTCTAAAATGGACTCAATTAAGAACCAAAGATTGACACCTGAACCAGGACCGAACCAGGATTAAACCAGGACTAAACCAGGACCAAACCAGGCCCATGAGAGTTTTCGGGTCCACTTAAACCAGCCTTCAGAACTCGTCTCGGTTCGGTTTTGTTTTGAGGAGCGCGCCGTGTTAAACATTTTCCTGATTTAAGTTTAAATTAAAATCACGTGATTGTTTTTTGATATTTTTTTGTATTTATCTGAATTGTGTTTGTAAAAAAAAAAAAAAAAAAAAAGTTTCTACCGCGGCTTTTCTATCAGTATTTGTATCCGAAAATAAACAGATTTGAACGAAACTCACTGGACTTTACTGTTTTTTTTTAAGTTAAAGTGACTCGTGTGGTGCATTTCTGTCCCAGTTCAGATTTTTCGACACTTTTAGACAATTTCCCATCATAAAAAACGAGACCAGGCATAATTTTTTCACATAAAAACTGTGCAAATATAATAATTTCATTGGAACAGACAGTGATAAACTCCACAGTGCATGGTACATCGGTGCAGAATTAACCTTCATTTCAGTCATTAGTAAAAAAAACAAACATTAGATTTAAAAATAACTATTTAAACAGTTACAAAAAACTTCAGAAATACACAAATTACATTTTTTACAAAGCATTAAAGGCACATCTTAGTTTGTTTCTGCGTTTTAAAGCCGCGCTACGGGACATTTCACCTGAATAAACCGCCGGCCAGACTGAAAATGTGTCGTTTACGTGTTTCATTTTAGATTTGAATCGTCCAAAGAAAAAGGAAAAAAAGCTGATTTTGAAAGCAGTTGTAGTGCCGTTTTAAACCAGAAGGGGGCGCGTGCTGCTGCTGCTGCTGCTGCTGTGAGTGAAGCGCCCAACGTCTCGAGGTCTCCCCCTGGTGGTTGTGTCGAGTTTGCCGCCAAAAAAATACAGGCTTTTAATTTTAAATATGACTGAATTTCTCACTTTGAACTTTTTAAATCTGAAAAAAAGATGTTTGAATTATTTTTACTCTGAATTTTAAGTATACTTTTTCCAATATGTTTCAAATTCAAACTAAAAAAAATTCACCTTTTGACTATTCAGCATGGATATTTTCAGATCTTCAAATTCAAAAGTCGAAATTCAGACTGTAAAATTCGCCACAGCCTCAGATCGTTTCTCTGAACTAGTTTTGTGGAGTTTTGCACATCAGCATAAAGGAAATATGACGTCATCGGCCCAAAATAAAATTTATAATATCTTAAAATCCAAAATGGCGTGGTTCAGGACGCGCTGCAGGGGGCGCTGTGGCTCAGGACACGCCGCCTCGAGGTCTCCCCCTGGTGGTTGTGTCTAGATTGCCACCAAAAAATACAGGCTTTTAATGTAGCGTGACCAGATTTTCAAAATAAAAAACAGGGACGCTCGGTTTGTCGTGGTTGTAATAATAAAATTGTGAAACGATTCGGCTCGTTCGTGACTAATATGTGTCAATATAGTCACGTTTTCTTTGTGCTTTGGTCGTTTTTAACTGGTGAAAACTGGTGAAGAGAAACGATCTGTGGGAAAAGTCTGTGTCAGTCTTTAGGAACTTTCTTTGGATTCATATTTGACGGAAGCGGAGACGGGTCACAACAAACGCAAACAAATACAAATGCGACAACACAACAAAAAGCCACAACAAACCACAAAAAAGCCACAACGGAAGAGACCGCGGGACTCTATTTTCTGACGGACCGATGAAGCGGCAAGTGAAGAAGAAGAACTACAACGTGAAAAATAAAGGAACGGAGAAGTTTGAAACGTAAGTAAAAGTAATTTATTGTTTTATCATTATTCGTTTCACGTTGTAGTTCTTCTTCTACACTTGCCGCTTGATCGGTCCGTTGGAAAATAGAGTCCCGCGGTCACTTCTGTTGTGGCTTTTTCTTTTTAAATGTGTTGCGTGCTTTTATA